CTTTCTTGTATTACGCAGTTTCGAATGGTAAATGGGGTTGATTTAGGGAACATTCTCCCCTTCTCCAAATATGTACAGAATTTAAATTATATTATATTATATTATATATTCATGTTTTTCAATATAAAATTGCATTAAAAAACAAACAAATAATCCAGCTATTGCAATAAACGGGATTTTCCAACCCTGGCTCCCAAAAATCCCCAACAGGGTGACAAGGTAATGGTCGACCTACCCCGCACCTTTTGCATCCGTAGAAAGGGTATGTTTGGTAGAGGCCAATTCCATGGAATCCGCCCAAATTGTAGTGTTTGATAGCACATTTTTTCCATGGAATTTCATTTTCTTGGTTGTCTTGGAAATTGTTATTTTCTTGGTTTTCCTTGTGGTGGGAATTGGTTTTCCAACCTACTGTTTACTACTTTTTTCATTTTTTTTTTGGTAATAGAAACAAATTCTAAGAATTATTATAAAAAAAATATTTTCCTTTAATTGACAATTTTCATGTAAAACAAAGTCAAACGAATACCAAAAGATAGCGGATTTTTTTTTTTGGGATAATGAAAACAAAATTTATCCCCAATATCAGTAGATTATATCCCTTTAATTGACAATTTTTATGTAAAACAAAGTCAAACGAACATAAAAAAAACTTTTATTTCAACATTTTTCATGTGAAAAATTATATCAATCAAACACAATAAATTGACAATTCTCAGGAAAATAATTTTCAGGCAATTCAATTCCTTGAAATTCGTTTTCTTTCCATTCAAATTTCATTTTTACAATCAAACGGACCCTAAATGTTATTTAAACAATATTTTGTTATAAACTAGAAAGAAAAATAGAGAAGCCAATAAATTTTGTGTGGTTTATTAAGAACTAATGCCCCATATTTATATGGAAGAATTAGAATTACAACGAATATGATAATCATAATGACTAAGATTGTAAGAGTATAAAAGTCATTCATAAATATTATTATATTTATAACATTTCTCATTGAATAACTATTTACATAATAACTATCTTATTGAAATATTATTTGGCAAAATTTTGACTAGATAAAAATGCCAACAAATGGAAAAAGAGCAAAATAATTTAGAGTAATAAAATGCTGCATCATCTAAACATTGTGAAGAATATTCAGCAGGACAAAACTTGATTGAAAGAAAACTAATATAGCCACTCTCCCTGATTTCAATTCTTATATCAAGCTATCCATATTTTGTATCTCAATACTTTAATATCGATATCTTGTACGTCAATGTCTTTAAATAGCACCGTCTTCATAGGAAATAATTATCAACATCTGTAATAACATGACACTTTTGAAAAATAGCTCTTGTTGATATTTTCGAGAGTTTAATAAATATAGGAGTATTATTTTGAGGGCTAGTGTTTTATATCTTATAGACATTAATCACACAAAGAATATGCCTTTTTAAAATTCTATTATAAAAAATCATGTGGAAAAAATCTTAATAAAGGAAAAGGAGCACATTATTCTTTTAAGTATATTGCAAAAGTTGTCTTATTAAAAACCTTGTCAGAAAAATCTAATAGGACAAAATCTTGGCCAAAGGAAAAAAGAGTGCAATGCGTATTTGCTCGCACTCATGATAATATCATGCTTCAAATATATTGAAAATCTTTTAGGAATAACATTTATAGTCATGCCATGTGAAGTTAACTATCATGTATTTCAAAATTCATGCATCTCTTAACGATTAAAAAAATAAATAAATAAAAATCATGCTCTCAAGATAACATGATATGGACTTGTGATTTCATCCACTCGTGCATTACATTTTACAATTTTAATTTTCTCATTTTCTTTTAGCATAAGTATATGCATTTAGATTTTCGGATTACAGATCTAGAAACTTAGGTTTATCTAGTTAATTCGATTTAAGATCCTGTCCCTTTTATTTGGTCAATCATTATTTTGATTGATATATTTTGACACATTTATTTAGATTTCTTCCTATATGATGCAGTACATCTACGCAAAAGTGTTGTCAACAACTTTTTATTTTTCGATTCCATTCTTTTATATAATGAAGTAACTTAGTGAGATATCTCAATTTTCAACATATCAGTTAACTAAACTTGTTCTTGGGTTTTATAATTTGTTATATCTTAATACTTGTCAAGAGTATGTATCGCCTTAATGGGACTACTTTTGCTACTTGCTCTACTTTCGTTTGGAGATTTTTATATTAAAATCGAATATCATCACGCTTCATGCATGTCATGGATATATCAAATATAATATTAATGAATTGTCCTCCTATGACATCAATTTAGGTTGAAGCATTTAAAATTGGTGCGTAAGACTTTGTTGATTTCTTCAGTCAGTAAATGTATCTAAAAAAATTATCTTTCGAACTTCTAATTTGAATGATCTTTTTTGATAATAATGATATATTTGTACATTATTTTCATTGTCTTAATTCCTCACAATAATGCTGAGAGAATTATCCAATCAAATTGATAATAATTTTTACTGCATTATAAATATCACCTATTCGGGATAAGAGTTCAAATTGCTTAATTATTCTTAGCATTCTACTTTCCATCTCATTGCATTAGGATAGATCAATTTTACATGTACTACACTATCAAAATAATGAGATGAAAAACTAGATTTTGACCATAAGTCAAACACAATAGCGACAATTATAATATTGACATGATGCATAATAACATCCCATAAATAGAAATAGAAAGTTTTTGTTCTCAATTAAATTAATTAGAGGGGTTTAACAAGCAACAATATTAAACAATTTATTGACATTCCAATTAACACTTATTAAAGTTAAGGATGTAGACTCACCATCATTAACAAAACACATTGTCTTGATTTTGTAATTTGAAAATTATGCTTACAAATTAAAATTTGAGTGATAATTTTGTAAATTTCAGGTTGCAAACACCATGCAATCATCTAGTGGACGTATC